TCAAATGGTCCTCGCGATGGTGGTAACCCCTTTGGATCAGCAAACAACTGAGGGAACTCTTCAGTGATAGCCAAGATTTCCTCTGGTACTGGTGATACCTTCTTCACCTCCTCTTCTACTGGCCTTACCCTGATCATGAATAGTTGACCTCCTCCTTTAACCATCTTATCTAATCTCTTGGCTTCCACCGTTTTTACCGTGTTCACAACTCCCTTCAACATGCAATCATGTCCCTGGTAAGTGTACCCCAGTGTCAGTTCTTGAAAATTCATCCTTAAATCACCCAAAGGAAGCAACCATTGTACTCCCAAGATTAAGTCACATGATTTAAGGGGTATCAATAGGAAATCAGCTATATAGACCATTCCCTGCATCATCCACGAAAAGGATTTACACAACTCATTTGTATGTCTGTCATGACCATCTGCAACATTGATGGCATGAGTCCTCATTGCCTAAACATCTTCTTGGAGTTCCTTTGTTAACCCTTCATCCATGAAGTTATGAGAACTACCAGGGTCAATCAAAATATGCAGTGGTCTCTTCTGACAGTACCCCTCCACTCTTAAAGTGTGGTAAGTAGGGAGCCCATGTAGAGCATGCACTGAAATCTCACAAACCTCCCCTTTTTCCTCCTCTTTTTCTGGCTCAGGATTCTCTAATTCCACCTCTTCTTCTTCCTGGTCCTCTCTCTCATCTTCAACCTCCAGTAGGTACAATGACTTGGATCCTCCACATTTGTGCCCAGGGAAGAACTTCTCATCACAGAAGAAACACAACCCCTTTTGTCTTCTCTCATTCATCTCAGCAGAAGATAATCTCTTGCTATTGTTCTTATTCAAACTCAGAGGTGTTTCCTTCTTAGCCTGGTTATAGTCATTTCTGGACCCAACTCCTCTTGAAAAGGAACTGTATGAGTTATTCTTGTACTGTGAACCACTAGCAGAGGAAGGGAACCTAGTAAGCTTAAGTTGGGCTTGAACTTGAGCTTCAGTATTTCTAGCCAATTGATAAGCTTGAGGTAGAGAAAAAGGCCTGTGGTTCTTAACAGTGAGACCTATCTCAGGTCTCAACCCAGTAATGAAACTACTGATAGCATACTCCGGAAGGATGGTTAGCCTAGTCATGATCTTATCAAATTCATTTTGATAATCCTTGACAGAACCAGTCTGTTTAACCAGCTTAAGTTCAGACATAGGATCCTCAAAATCAGCCCCAAATCTGTCCATGAGAGCATACAAATATTCATCCCAAGTAGGATATGGCAAGTGTTGCCTACTCTTGATGAAAGCGAGATGCCATTCTATAGCTAACCCATCAAAATGTAGAGAAGCAACTCTTACCTTCTGATTTGGGGGTATCTCATCTAGAGAAAAAAACTGGTCCACCTTGTAGATCCAAGACCTTAGATCTGTTCCATTGAACCTTGGAAACTCTATCTTGGATAGCCTAGACATAGGGTGATGGAAGTGACCCTGAAAGTTAGGCTGGTTTGCTCCTCCTCCCAAACCTCCTACTGATGTCTGGCCATGAAACCCTCCATAATGCATCTGATTTGGTGCTCCACTAGGCATCTGGTATGGAGCTGAAGTTCCTGGCCCCATATGACCTGCAGACCCTACCCCCATAGCAGGGTTTTGATGCATAGGTCCTCCTAATGGTGTTTGAAACTGGGGTATGGACCCCATCCCAAACTGATATCCACCAGGTGTAACCATAGTAGGTGTTCCTCCTGTGTGTGTGGCAGAAACCCAAGCCATGGGTTTGCCAGAGGGTGTGTAGATCTCACCATTTCCTTCACCTTCCTCAACAACCAAGGTCGGTCTCAGACAGGTTATTTATTTACATGTGGAGGTACAACTATATATGGTGTTCAATAAAACAAACCATGATTGCTACTTCTTCAAATCATGCAGAGATAATAGCCATCCATGAAGCAAGTCGAGAATGTGTGTGGTTAAGATCACTAACTCAACACATCCAGGAAACAATGGTCTTTCTTTAAAAGGAGATGCTCCAACAACATTATATGAAGACAATACTGTATATAGAGCTCAACTAAGAGAAGAATACATCAAATGAGATAGAACAAAACACATTTCACCAAAATTATTCTTTACTCATGATCTTCAAAAGAAGGGTGAAATAGATGTGCAGCAAGTTCGTTCAAGTGATAATTTAGCAGATATGTTTACTAAGGCATTGCCAACTTCAACCTTTGAGAAACTGAGATACAAGATTGGAATGCGTCATCTTCAAGATATTAAGTGATATTTTCATCAGGGGGAGTACATACACGCTGCACTCTTTTTTTCTTAATCAGGTTTTGTCCCACTGATTTTCCTGATAAGGTTTTTAATGAGGCAGTAAATAATGTGTATTACAAATAATTTTATATACCTTTCTTTAATTTATACATGAACATACAAGGGGGAGTGTTATAAATAAATATATAAATATATATATGTCCATGACCCATTACTGTAGAATGTTCACTTCTCTAAAGAATTGTTTTTCTATAAGAGGGGTAATACCTCTACAATGTAGAGACACCAAAAATAGTAAAGAAAATATTATTTTCTCTCATCCTATTACTCTTATTGTTGTCATTTTCCCCTTTCTTCTATCTTCCCTTTTCCCCTCTTTATATAGTTTATATTATTAATATTTCGTAACAAATTGATATAATTCTATTTCTTTTCATTCATGAGTCTTTTTTTGGCTCGTTTCCCCCACTACTAGTTCCTCTGGGCTCTGTTAAACAAAAAAGTATTGAAGTTCTCTTAATTTTCCCAAAAGTTGTTCCTCATCAGATAATTCCCTCAAATCGACAGCGGCGTACGGACCGACGCTGTAGAAATGCAGTAAACGCCACAAAAACAGCGGTGAATTTAGTCGAACTCGGAGTAACGAGTAAATCACCGTAAAGTTTGTCTCCGGTGTGGAAATGCCGAGTTCGTGTAGTATCAGAGCTCTCTGGATCCTCACCAATCAAGACACCGTTGTTTTCTCCCGGTACTTCCCCTCTCCCTCTCCCTCTGTGTGCGTGTGTGCGTGTTTCGTTAATTTTAATCATGGTGATGAAATTGCAGGAGATTTCCGGTGGTGGAGAAGCGGTGGCGGGCGGCATGTGAGAGAGATAAGAGTTGTAAGGAGGATGATTTGAAATATAATGTGGTGCCTTCTCTTCCAACTGATTCAGAGATTGCTGATGCTTTCGTTGACCGCAAGAAAAGGTTTCTTCTTCTTCTTTTTAATTTCCTTTTTTGAATCAAGTTTGAAACTTGGGATGATATGTTTGAGTTTAAGTGATACACAATGACATTAGTATAAACAATACCATTTATTTTAGGTGTTATTAAATAAAGTTACATGCAATTACCTTTAAAGTAACATGATTGTGTTAATACTTTTTACTCTGTCAAGGCATACAATTTCAACTGCATCTGTTTTAGTATATACTCTTGAAGAGAACATAAAAGTACTATCCTTATGTCCCTAAGGAAGTGATTTAGCGGTTGAAGAATTGGAGTGACAACATTGGGAGCCAAGATTTAGATCTGTGCAGATACTAGGCGATTCTTTCTATCTGTTTAAGTTTTGGAGTTTTGTGATACAATTAAGCTAGGGACAACATTGAAAAGTAATAAGACAGTAATGGAAGAGTAAGAAGCTAAGAAAAGAAAGAAAGGAAAAGGAAAAGAGTAAGAAACAAGCTATGCTCTATTTAGCTAAACAATTCTCTGCCCTCTTCAACAAGGACAAATACAATACTTAAATAGTCCAACATTCCTGCTGGACAGTACAAAACATAAGTGCCCAGCAATTGGACCTAAAGTATCCAATCCTCAAACATATCGGGCAATTTTGATAATAATAGAAATAACTTTAAAACCTATTGGACTAAACTGAGCAATATGAAACTATTCTTCTTAAATAAAACCTAACCAACTTAACGGCTAGGTCCAACCCTCCCAACGCACAGTACACACTCTGCCTAAGCTTCTGAATCCATTCTTGCATCACAACACTTATCTTTTTCCCAGGTTTAGGACAGGATATGTCCCCAGGCAAGCAGAGTTAGAGTGTGTAAACTGAAAAAATATATTTTTTACTAATTTCTGGTTTCTGGAAATTGGAAGTTGTGGATGGGTGGAAATTTGCTCTAGCTGCTCTTTTTCTTTTCTTCCTTTTTATCATACATTTCTGTGAAATGATGTAACCCATGAAGTGTAATCTTATGATTAATGTGAAACTTATCAAACTTCTTCCAAGTAGGTATGGCTTTTTTCTTTTTTTCTTCCTTTCTGATAAGGTAACAAACTTATAGTCAAATTACTCCCTGAGCACTAAGATAGGGCTGGACTTGTACATCAGTCAAAAAGTTCAAAGATTTTGTATCTCTTAAGGCAATATAAAGGCAAAAGATGGTGGAAAATTGAAAAGAAAGAACAAAAAAGTAGTTTGAAGCTCAAAAAGGGAAAAAAGTAGATTCCTGAATATGTCAGAAGCCCAAAATAGGCTGAACAGAACAGGACCAATCCCGCAGCTATATATTGTTAAAAAAGGGGTAAAGATGATAATATGCTGTCGCGGAGGTCTAAATTTGCTGCAGTAGGAAGCTTGATGTGATGTGTTAAACCAAAAAGTCAAAGTTGTCGTGGAGTTCTCTTCTTGGATAAGTTTCACCTTCCTGCAAAGCAACCGTTGCACCTTATATAGGGTAGAATCAGTAGAAATGGTGACCCCAATCGGTGTATTGGCAATTTGAGTAGTTTCCTTTAATAGCTTCAATTTGCTACATCCTGTTTCTTCCTTCAAAAACTTCACTTTTCTGTGAGCTCACTTTTTTTCAACACTACGTATAAATAACTCTCCGTCATTTCTCATCCTCAATATATTTCAACAGACTAGCCAAGTTGCTTTCATCAGTTTAAGGTTTTTCTGGATTTCATCGCAGATATAACCTTGAGGTGTGTATTCAATGACCAGGCAACTGAAAAGTGACTTTTGGTACTGTCTATTTGCAGGATGCAAACAAAAGGCATCACCCACTGGACTTGAATACTCTAAAGGGTCATGGGGATATTGTCACAGGAGTTTGCTTCTTACCCAATGCACAGTCTTTGGCAACTGGTAATTTTTGGTTTTATGCATTTGTATTGTTTGAGCTCTAAGCATTCTGAAACAGTGAGGGGATGCAAGAACCTTTAAGAACATTGTCTCACTTATATTTTTGGTCTGTAAGAGAAAATACCTGTATGTAGATAACTAGGTAACTTAAAGATATGACTTGGCTGAGCCACTCATTCACATTTTACATACTTTGATGGCCTTGGTGTGTTACTAATGAAGGACACTTTTTTTACTTGAACAAAATATATATGTTATCCTTAAACTTATAATTAAAGAGAACATGCTTTAAATTGTAGTCATAGTTACATTCTGCACATCTTCTATCACTTCAAAGGATCTATGGTTCTAGAAACAGTTGTTTACATTCCCCTTACATATTTTAGCAGGAGGATGGGGGAGATAGATGTCAGTCTTCCATACTAATGTTTTTCTCTTGCAGCTTGTGCTGACGGCGTTGTTAGGATCTTCAAGTTGGATGATGCTTTGAGCAAAAGCTTTAAGTATGACTCTTACTGTTTTATTATTATTAAGGCAGTAATCTAATTTCTATTAAGCTTCGGGCAGAAGTTTTATTATTACTATTATAATTATTGTTAGGTGAATTTAATTGCAAATTTCTAACTCTAATCCAATCTTATTCAGGTTTCTGAGAATTAATTTGCCTGCTGGAGGTCATCCGATTGCAGTTGCAGTTGCTGATGAAGCTTCCTCGGTTGCAGTGGCATGCCATGCTCTTTTTGGTTCTTCCTTGTACATGTATGGTGAAGAGAAACCTAAAGCAGATGCTGATTCCAAACAGGCCAAGCTTCCTCTTCCACAAATCAAATGGGAACAGCATAAAGTTCATGACAAGAGAGCAATCCTAACTCTAGTTGGTACCAAGGCAACTTATGGTACTGCTGATGGGAGTACCATCATTGTTTCATGTTCTGAAGGTAAGGTTGGATAATTCTTATGAACTTCTTTTCAAGTTACCCAGAGAACTTTTGAGTTAAAGCTCAATGGATATCCTCATTCTAGTAAAAACTTCATGGCTCATATTTGTAGCTGGAGAATGCATGCTTATGGGAGAGCTATCATGTATTGTATTGATTTTTAATTCTATAATGGTGTTTTAAGTTTATTCGATTTCATACTGTAGCTAGTGCTGATTGGCCTAACAACTACCATGCTTAGCTTTTATTAGTACGTAAAGTTTTATTGAGATAGCAAAAGACCAACACTAAGTTAGTCCTGGATTAACAAAGATGTTCCATCCTTTATAGTACTATGTTTTTGAATATTTAAGTTAATTCCATCTGGATGTCTCACTGTTTACAGCAAATGATTTACACTATTGCCCTAATAAACTAAGGCATGTGAACTTCTAATACTGGTTGATATAGTCTTTCCTTAGAAGCATCTACAATTTCTTTTAGTTTAAACTACCCAAAGTCCCAAACTATACATGCTGGAACTGTCGTACAGATTTTCTTAAGCTCCCTTGTAATTTTCCATCCTTCCCAGAAGCAATACAATTCTTTTTGAGGTTCTTGAAATGACCCTCCCTCAAACCAAATATCTGCAAAAACATTCTGCCTATTAACTATGCAAGGCAAAAATAAGCGGTCAGTTTCTTTATCATCAAACCCACACAAATATTACTTGCTGCACATGTGAAAGCCCTCTCTCTCTCTCTCTCTCTCTGAAGATCTCGCTGTTTTTTTTTTTTGATGACCGTGGTGTTCGGGCCAGCTTTCGCGCACCTCGAACCTGCCACCTCCCACCAGCAACAGTACTAGGTAACTCTATCCACCAAGGGTAGGACAAATGGGAAGAATCACCTAGTGTTTTTTGCCTCCACTGAGTTTTGAACTGAGACCTCAGGGTTCTCAACCACTTTATTAACCACTGGGCCACACCTTTGGGTGCAATCTCGCTGTTTTAAATAGGCATCATGTAACAAAATCCAGCTGAAGAAGCAACTTTACTTGTGCCATGTACTTCCAAATCAAGGTTCTTGGCCTTCGAACAGAAAAAGAGACATCCTTATTGGGTAACTTATAACATGATTCACAGTGAATTTTCCGTTGTTATTTGCAGTCCATCTGAGCCTGACAGGAGTACCATTAAGATGTGTTGACTTTCCCAACTCCAAAAGAAGTTGGGCCTCTGGGCCATGCTTTCAACTTACCACTTGAAACAATTCCTTCCAAACCCCACATTCCGTTTATTTTCTTATAGCCAGCATACTTAATTCTGACAGCGTTTTGGCATTGTAGGAGATCATTTGGTCTGAGATTGGACAAAAGTTTGTGGACAGTATATCTAATATCTTAACAGTTTGTGTATATCAATACATCAACTATCTCGTAATTGAGCGTCTTGGTAGATAGACAAAGTCACTAATTACTGCAGCTGTTAGTTACCTACTTCCCTAACATATTGTCCTTAACTACAGTATCATGATTGAAAATGTTATAATACCAAAATCACTTTTCAGTCCTGCACTAAAAGGCTTTGCCATGCCACAACTTGGTAGTTTTTTTTTTGTTGACTTATTAAAGAAGATGAATCACATTCTACCATAAAGTTGAGAATTTGTAGCCTTATTAGAGTTTCAGAAGCAAAATTCAGATGGCAATGAAAAGTCAATACAATTTATTTCTCGTGCACACACAATTCATTCCAAGTGCTTAAGTTTCCTTAACTTTAAACCATTTAATAGTACCACTTACTTTACAAGCGAATTGATATATTCCATTTGAAATTATTATACGATAAAATGAAAGCGTGGAATCAAGTTTCAATTTATCAGTCAAAGTTTTGACTGGATCTTAAGATCAAATGGGGATTGTAGAAATGGGTTGAAGTTGCTTCACTTAGTCCAAATTATAAAGTTTGATGATGCTACCTTAGCTTGGATGTTTGGTCATGTTTATTTCTCGGGTTCTCTATGGGCTCTGGGATCAAGCACTTCTGCTGTTTGTTGCTGTATTTGCAGGACGAATCATCACAGCAACTCAAAAAATTGTTTGCAGAAAGTTTTGTTGTACATGTCTTAAACTGCCAGAATTTAAGATAATGATCGTATGATGCAAAATCTTTTAAAAATGTTATAGCTTTAGTAAATATGTCATTGTGAAATTTTTTTATGGATGAAAGTTAATGATCTTGCTTCAAGCAATGCTCTTAATTGGTGTTTGTTGGAAAAATAAATTCCAATCTGATCTCAAACTTAAATTAAAATTCTTTTTGGAAGAAAGTGGATGCATTTGAACGCCATGAAGGTTGGTTGTGATGTTCCAAGAATCTTTTATGTACTATGGACACAAGTTTGGGTTTTGATGGATATTAATGATATGACCATAGACGTGTGACACTGTGACCAGCTATTTTAGTAATGCCTGAGTTCCAGTACCTCTTTGTGTCATAATTCTCTTCTCTGCATGGCAATTTTGTTTCTGTGATCTCATAACCACAAACATCTCTACAACCAGATTCTTCTTTTCCTTTCTTTTTTGTGTGGAAGAACCTTTTTTTCCCCATAGAGCAAAATGACAAATGTAATAATCTGCATCTGTATTTTTTGGTGTTTAGGTACTGATATTGTGCTTTTTCACGGAAAAAGTGGCAAGATTGTTGGAAACGTCGATACTAATCAACTCAAAAACAACATGGCTACTATATCTCCCAATGGACGTTTTATAGCTGCCGCAGCTTTTACCGCTGATGTCAAGGTGAAATTAAATGTTGCCACCTTATTATTTTGTTAGACTGAATTGCTTTAAGCTTTTATAAAGAGTCTCAACAAGTGATGTACTACATTTTGTGTTAAATTTCAATGTTAATTAAGTAGTAGGAAAATAATGTTTAGGAAACTAGTTAGTAATAAGAGATATTAGAAGATAGAAGAAAAGGGAAATGCAGGTGTCTTTTTTCCTGTTCAATTTTTTTGGGGGTGTGGCGGGTGTGGTTAGATAGGAGAAACAAAGAGAGCAGAAGCTAAGTTATACTAAACTTTTGCATCAGTAGTTTCCTGAGACATTAAAAATGTTTCCACAGCGTCAGCTACATTCTTTTCAGTTGCCGTCATGTTGTTTATTGTCAAGTGTCAGGCAGTCTGGCATGTTAGTCGAACTGTTATGTACAGTCTTGTCAATCTGGTGGTTGGAAGGGCAGCTAGAACAAGGAGCTTGTGGTGGAGCTATTCAAGAAAATAGAACATATGGTTATTGCCTGGTTCAAGGCATCTCATATGCAGCTGGGCCAAAGTTTGGTCAAAGATGATCAAATGGTGTTTGCCATTGATTCACTCAAGAACATCTTTCAGAACCATGTACACCCACCATCCATCCATAAAGGATGATCCAAAGGTTTCTCCTATGTAATCTGAAGAGAGAGAGAGACAAATGGGGGATCCACACAAAATATTTTCCTTATGTGTTCTGTGTGAATAGCTAACACTTCCCAATCCTTCCAAAGAAAGGTGGAGATTGCATCGTCTAAGTTTATTTAAGTATTACATTAACTCTAGGAGATTTTATTTGTCATTTAGCCAAAAGAGTCAACTAAATTGGGATAAGTTATGAAGCAAAAGTAGGTTATATAGATTTGGGGTGGGGATTAAATACTCTGGTAAAGCTTTCATATCTTATGGTGTGGTTTGAGTCCTTTTATGTTTTATGCGATTTACATCGCACTCCTTTGTCAACTTGGGAAGGATTTTTTCATATATTTCTGACTCGATTGTTGGATGTCATCAAAGAAGAGTTCTTGAACAAATTCTGTCTTTTTAACAGGTTTGGGAGATTGTGTACTCGAAGGATGGTACTGTAAAGGAGGTTTCAAGGATTATGGAGCTCAAGGGGCATAAGGTAAATGCTATCACGTTGTTGCACTATGAAAGTCTATTTTCATCTACTCTTTTTCTATCCTTCTATAGGGTTCTAGATCAATATTATCCGAGTTCAGGTGTGTCTGATGATATTTCTAGGGTGAACAAGATGTGAACAGGCTTATTATTGTCCTAATTTGTACTTGGGTGAAATTTTTTAGCTTAATGTTACTTCCTCTGTCCAACAATACTTGTCCACTATTAACTTTGCAGGGTAATTTTACTATATCACCCTTTGAATATAATAAATACAATGTTTTTGAAAAATGTAATAGAGAAATAACTATAATTAATGATAAGGGTAAATTAGGAACTAAGTGTAAAATTATCCATTGATTTCATAAAGTGGACAAGTATTGTTGGGCATTCTTCTTTTCTTTTTTTTTTAATTTAAAGTTATTGGGCATTCTAAATAGTATAGTGGACAACTATTGTTGGACGGAGGGAGTAATATTTTAGGGAAAGGAGAAACTTTAGAAAATTCTTATGGGAGTATCAGTTTGAAGTATGTTGTTTCAGCAAAGACCTCCGAAGATTCAAATACCTTTGTGGTCGATTGTAGATTGGGACCATCTCTTTTAATTTGTGTTCATGATTAAGCTGATGAATGCAATCTTGAATTTATTATGAGTAAATTTTAAGTTTAGCAAACGTAAAAATCATATTTGTATGATATAGCTATAGTTTGTATAATTGTGCAAGTTTGCTATGGAGCATCAGATTTGTATAAATCACTGGCAGGAGCATCAGATTTGTATAAATCACTGGCAAGAGCATCAGATTTGTATAAATCGCTGGCAGACCTCTCGTTTGTATAAACGCGATCTGTATTTGTATAATTATAAGTGTATAGGACGAAAATATATGTATTTGTATTTGTATATACAGTTTTCTCTCGTTTTATACAAACACAAACATAATTTATACATTTGTGTTTGTATAAATCGAGAGAGGCGAGGGAGAGTGGCGAGCGAGATTCTCTGGCACTCTCCCTCGCCTCTCTGGGGAGAGGGACGAACGAACGAAAAGATATGTATATATACAATTTTCTCTCGTTTTATACAAACACAAACATAATTTATACATTTGTGTTTGTATAAAGTGAGAGAGGCGAGAGAGAAACTGCCGAGCGAGATCATGAGAGTGGCGAGCGAGAAATCTGGGGAGAGAGGCTAATGGCAACTGTTTGCTACAGGTTACAATTAAATCAAACTATGGTTATAGCATTTAATTTGAATTTAATAGTTTGTTATTTTATACAATTTTCCCTTTTATTATAGGTGTACAATACTCTCTTCACAATTGACTGTGTCATTTAGTTTCAATGAACTTTTGCGATTGACCTTTTTTTTTCGTATTTGCTGCTAATTTGTTGCTTTGTTAATCATTTCTGTATATGTCTAAATTTTATATGGGTGCTGTACAGAGTGCAGTGACGTGGCTATGCTTTAGCCCGAATTCTGAACAAATAATCACTGCATCGAAGGATGGTACAATCAGAATGTGGAATATTAATGGTATATCTTCCCCTCCCTAGCTTTATTTGTTACTAATTTACCATTATTACCTCGTCTAATTAATTTTCCTTTGGCTCTTTCATGCAACATTCTTGTTCAGTGCGCTATCACCTTTCTGAGGACCCTAAGACATTAAAGGTGTTCCCTATTCCCCTTAAAGATGCAAGTGGTACAACTTTACACTATGATCGTTTATGTGTATCCCCTGATGGAAAGATATTGGCCACCACTCATGGTTCAATGATGCAATGGCTATGTATGGAGACTGGGAAGGTTCTGGAAACAGCTGAAAAAGCACATGATGGTATGCTTTTCAAATAACTTAATGCCTTTATCAAAAACTGTTCCACCGTTTTCATCCTTTTTGTATGTGCAGAACCAGTCTGTAGAAGTTCCTCTGTATTTGAAGCAGCTATGAGCCTATGACTTGTTGCTTCTTGGCAACAGTTCAACTTTTTGTTCCTTTCCTAATAGATAAGACAGTAAGAACCTGAACAGAATACATTAGCACATCCTTGGATAGGAAAATAAACTGAAACAAATAGCAGAATAGGAAAACCATAAAAAATGATCATCTAATAGAAATACCACAAAGGAATTGAACCCTTGGCCCAAGTATCACAATTCATTACTTAACCTGTGTTTTACAACATTTATTGTATGTCTAAACACAAAATAAGAATTGTATTAGAAAAAACGAAGAAAGGAATGAGTCTACTGGGTGGGTGCACAACAATGGAATGAGTCTGATTTACAAGAAAACAAAATATGGGGAAGTAGCAAGGGTTCCTGTGAACCCAGAGTGTTCAACATGGCTCTGCCACTGTGGCTGGTAGTCCGGCCATACCAGTCATGCTATCAACTTGTGTTGATTTGAAAACTTATTGTCTTCCACTTTTTGTGTACAGGTGATATCACTGACATGGCATGGTCGCCTTCTCCGATTCCAATGGGTAAGTCTCTTTCCCATCCCAAGTGAAGTTTTTTGTTATGCGTGATTCTATTTTATTTTATTTTACTGTCTACATTAGGTCATAAAGAGTATAAGCTTTTTTTCCGAAGACTTTTGCCACTAAGTCAAACAACAGTTTGTCTCTTTTGGCTGGCATCTTGCTTTCGATGTGTATTCCTCTTAGTTTTAATGTCTTTTCTGGAAGTATTCCATTTTTTTCCTATATATTTTAGCAAGTATGGAGATGAGACTTGCATTCTATCATTAAAGCTATGATGGATCAAAGTTTGAAAAATTGGAGCGAAAAGGAAAAACTTAATAGTAGGAGCAAATCCTTGTGGTTTAGGAGGAAGTGTAAATTCTTCCTCCTGCTGTTGAAAAAATTGCACTCCCTCTGTTTCAATTTGTTGTCTTAATTTGACTGCCCACTGAGTTTAAGAAGTAAGGAAGACATGAGAATCTTGTGGTCTTAAACTAAAGATATGTAGTATACATCAAAATGTCCTTTAATCGTGTAGAACGTTGATTTCTGGAAACGGCCTAACATTATTAAGCTGCTTTTCTTTTTCGTTGTATCAGGTGACAAGCAAGTTCTGGTGTTGGCCACAGCCAGTGTCGATAAGAAAGTGAAGTTGTGGGCAGCTCCATCCCTGAATGCATCATGAATGAGCGACGGAACCTTTCCCCATGAATGACACAAGTATTTGATGTCTCGACCAGTTTTTTGAACTAATAGATCATAGGGGGGACTGACGATCAGAAGAGGAGAATACAGCCGAAGTTAGAGGATTGAGTGCTTACATCTTTTGAGGGCTTTTGTTATTCAAAGATTAGACTTAACCAGAATGTGGTAAAGCTAGAGAAATTTTTTGATGTTTAATTTGATGTTATATTATTATATACATGGGTGGTAGTTTTCTCTATCGAGTTCTGAGGAATGGTGTGGTGTTACTGATCTATTTTAGAGCTTAGAACTGGTAAAGGGTACTTTTTTCTGTTTCAAGTTAAAAAAGAAAATTATATATCCTGTAAGTTCCCTTTTTTGCAGAAGAGATCTTTTCTGTTCTTTTTATTGAAAAAACAAAAATGGGGGTAAGGGAGGGGGATTATAAGGTGGGAATTAAACCATCACCAACAAGGTGAAAGTCCATGTGGTGGGAATCAACTGAACTACAAAAATTCTCTGGTATTCTTTTTCTGTTTTCGGTAGAAAGCAAAAATTAAAGAGAATAAAGAATATGAAATTGGAAACCCCATTTTCAATGTTATCTAGTAAGCGGAAACAGAACCTGCTTGTTGAGTCTTATCAAAAGATACTTAGGGCTCGTTTGGCCATGCGATATGGTATCATGATATGGTATCATATATGGAATCATGAGATGAAATTCAAGGTTTGTTTGGACATGCGATATGAAATTTTTGTGTTGTATATTTTCTCATAAACATAAAAATCTCATAAGTTGTAAAACTATTAAAATAGCCCCAATTGTTTATTCAATCTTATCAAATAAACAAAAATTATAAAATCGCATAATAAATTATTACAAAGTTATTTGTTCTTCACTTAAGTAATTGTTTCATCTAACTTTAATTTAATTAAAAAATTAGAACATAAATTGTACTTGATATGCTCATATCTCTCAACTACTCTTACAAATAACCTATAAAGTAGAAAAAACAATACATTAGTGAGTAAATATTAACTTAGAAGTTAAATACACTTAGATAAAAATTAACAAGCATCACTGACTTCTAACTATGTACAAGAAAAATCAATAGTTAAATATTATTGAATAACGAAATTTTAAAAAGTTACCACAAGTTTGAGTCAAAAACACTTCTAATAAAATTTAATCAAAAAAATTATAACTAGTCCACTTGACTAAATATTAATAACTAATTGATCAAAATTTTCCCAAGTCCTCAATCAATTGGACTTGATATTCTTCAGTCATGTGAACGAACATTTTGCGAATACTAAGATTAAGAAAGTGCGGCACCGCCAATGAAAATTGTCT